TTCCTACAGCTGAGATCCTGTATGTGCTTTTAGCATGGATGAACTAGCACTATCAATAGGCTCTCACTCTCAATTACCTATTTATTTCTGCTGACATTTGGTTCTCAGCAACCTGTACCATTACATTCTCTACACAACAAGGTTAAGTGTCTATATTTATCTGCTCGTGATATGGAAAATTATTGTAGTTACCCATTTATTACTATACAGAAAAGCCTATCTTCCACCCATTTCAGTCTTACATTTACTGAAATGAAGTTATCCAGGAAGCAGAAAGAGTTGCCATGGAAATAAAACCAATTTCACAGAGGCTGCTGCAAAACTTCCATTAATTAACCTATTTATGATAAAACCATTTCTCCTCTCATTAAATGTAGTTGCTATCATTTCAATGACACAATAAGAAAAATACAGCTGCTCTCCACTTCTTGTATATTCCATGCTTTAGTGAGAACTGCATCAGCACAGTTTTGTACCACTTTTTATACTTCATGACAGAGCTCAAACTGAAGTGGTGAAAAGGGATTCACAATTTGTGTCCATCTATAAAATTGAATGTAACTTATTCCTGAAAAAAAATGAAGATTTTTCTTGCTTGTTTTGAAACAAAAATAACTCATTTAGAAAGTAAGTTTAAAATTTGTTTTAACTTCTGAAATCTAGACTGTCAAATTCTTCCCTAAAAATATATCTTGAATGTTTTCAATAACTATGTCGACAAAAAGAAATGGTCCATGTCAAATCTCAGGAAATAAACTTTAAAGCATAGAGTATAATAAAGGATACATCTGTGAAATAGTTTAAAAATTCCAACTCTGCTCTCGGCAGGATACTAGTACACTATACCTGAAAACACATGGGCTTTCAAAGAGAGAGTAACCAGCTTGTTTCTTAGGCTGGGAAAACTTTCTCTGCAAGAAAAACAGGTATAACTAAATGAAGGAATAGCAAGAATATCCTTTTGCTTAGTAATAATTCAGCAACAAAGCCCTGCCTAAACAGCTATCACATAATGACAATGACAAGAACTATGCTATAAGGAGGGACAGACCATACCCATAGGCAAGATTTTCAGTGTCAAGGATCATTTGAAGTAGATGTGGTATAATTCCACTCCTGCCCTGGCAAACTTGGTAACAACAAATCAATAATTACCAGCCACAAACACTATGTAATACAAACCAGTTCAGACCATCTGGATGTTTATTTACAGATCAACCAATTTGCTGCTGTACCTAATGTAAATTTCATGATTACAAGGTAATTTGGTGGAGGGTGAGAGAGGAGTATGAAAAATGCACCACCTCTCGTGTGGATGCTCTGAAAACAGGCACAGGGTAAGCTTCTCAAAGCTGCAAAGCAAAGGAAGAACTGAAGGGGCAAAGAGGTTGGAAGAAGGTGTTAGGGGCTGTCCTGTCCTCCCCCCAAAACTCTAGCAAAGAAATTCAAGCTAAAAAAAAAATAAATCCAAACAAACAGTAGTAAATAGTCTTATAACAGAAATAGCATGTCATGTCCTTGCCTCCATGGGCTTCTCTTTGGATAGCACAGGGCTGTCAACAAACAGCATACAATTCACAAAACAGCCGATGTTTTATACATTTTCAACTGGTTCATAAAAAGAATACAAACTTTCACAGAACTGGTGAGAAACTAGACTTACTATTGCATGAGCTGTCTCATTTTTTAATTTATTTGTTAATCAATGAACAATTCCAACAGTGGAAAGGCAAACTGAGCAGATTTTGCTCTCCACTACAACAGAGTGGACAGGTAATAAATCCACTGCAGGTAAGGCCGCTAACATGTAATCACATATTGCCCACAAGGACGAGCACTCCAAAAATCTATGGAGCCTCATGCTGGCCACAAGAAACACAAAGACTGCAAGGTCAAGCCACCAGCAATTTGAGACACGCTGGACAAAATAATGCACTGTCTTAATTGTGGATTAAGAAATATTTTGGTAAGATTACTCAATTCTGCATTCACTTTTCCAGCATGGCTTCCCACAGAAGTCAGTGGGAACCACAGATACATGCAGGGTATGTAACTAGACCCTTAACATATAACTAAAACCGATAAGCTTGATTCATTGGGGGGGGGGAGGAGCAGAAAAAAAACCCAAACCAACACAAAACATCAACCAACCCAACCCAAAAGTCACAATTGAGAGCTCTAGACACCAGAAAGCTAAAATCCCAACTTGCTGCTTCCTTTAGAACTTCTTGATTCTTGCTATCATCAGAGCTCAGCATGGAAATAAAAATACTCTTCAGTCATGAAAATCTCTCTTTTGAACAGAATTCAAGCAGAGGATAGATAAATAACTGAAGAGGAAATGAAGTGTCAACATGGACTCTGACCCCAGTCTTAACAAACGCTCCCAGTAAAATCAGCATAGGAGATGGACTAACCAGCTGGAAGCATGTTTGCAGTTATGAGTGAGATATGAGGCATTAAGCATCCCAGTCTCACACCAGATGGATTAAAATAAATGCAGTACCTAACAGCATTCCTATTGTCAATAAAAAGCTGTACAGAATCACATCTAAGTACATGAGACATACATCTTGGAAGATGCAGTCCTTCGCAGTTCTTAAATTTGATCAAATTCAAAATTGTAACAGTCTTCCAAATTTGATCTAAAATGTGAGACAGGAATTATCCAGTTCCACAGAGAAGACAGCCTTCCTGTCTCTCGTCTGTCTGCCTCCCTACACAATCACCAATTTATGATCTGTAATTTCGCACAGGTGATCTGGAAGTAAAACTGAAGTTACCTATACCATCCAGATATTCCAAGTATCAATAGTATAAGATTAATATTATTTCCTGCAAAGCAGGGTCCATTATTTTCCTCTGCCACACATGAACCATTTCCACATAAGGGATTTTAGAGCTAAGATAATTTTAAGTCAGACACATCCCTTACAGAAAGATGGGTGGGAGAACCAAAAAGCCAGTGGGCCACAACTGTGTCATTTCTGTGAAGCATGTGAACAATGCAGCTGGACGACACAAATTGAGGATATGAAGCCAGGCAGCAGGGATGCAACTGGAGAGAGATACTCAGTTCAACCGATGTGTAGCTCACATCTCCTCATTACCACAGGAGCCCGCATGGTGTTGAAGAGTTAGCATACAGGGAATGTTGTTAGCAGCAATACAAACAAGTAACAGAAATTAAGAGCTAGTACTCCCTTGCTCTCATGTACTCCATGTCTATAAAGAAACATGAGAAAGACAGACGGGCATTCTTTTCCAGGGTAAAAGCAAAGCAACTCCACAGAAATCTTCAGCATTATACCTGTTTCATGTTTGGGGCCACTCGGGCCACAGTTTATTTCTACATGAATGAGTTAATGAATTCACAGAAGGTTTTTGCACTGCTATCTAGCAAAGGATAAGAACGCCCAGGCCTTATCTGTGGAACCTACCTTCCCTTAAGATCACGCACCCACCACTTGATGTTTGCATCCCAGTAAAGACAGAAACAATCTCCAGCCAGCACTGACAAGTCAGGTGACACTGAGGGCAGTAGCTCCAGGCAAAGGCTTTAGTTCTAACATGCCTCCCAGCCCACTTCTCTTAAATACTGTTCATCAGGATACTTTGCTTTTCTGTATTCACAATCAATGTGCAACTTAAAATACCACCTAGGCCAAACTACATCTGTCACAAGCTCTTATCTGAACAGAAATGTCAGGAAGAGAACAAAGGTCAAACGATACTAGGGGAACCGTGCATGTTTCCAGCCTGTGCTCAGAGGCCAGGGGGAAGTCTGGCAGCTGGGGCTGGGACAGGAAAACACTGTCATAGGGAAGCCCATGATACTGAGTTTTCTCTTGGGCATTTTTCCCTTTGCTACTTTCACATGCCTCACCGCACTGCTAGCCTCCTGGTTTGACAGAGACATCTGTGAATACAAAAAGGAATTAATTTCTCCTGTGTCAAAAGGTTGATGATAGCTTTTACTCTGCATATACACAGACCCATTTATGCAATCCTCCTCTCCTAGCATCCCACTGACATGCATTCCATATCCATGCATTCCACAGAGAAGGTGTGGCCCATCTGAGTTGCTGCCAAAGAGGAATGAGGTCTGTCCCCTCTGTATGTCTACCTGGGCTCACTACACTGGTATCAGAACTGGGTGGCAGTTCTGTCCTCTGTTCTCCAGAGGACAGCTCGTACTATTGTGATCCTTCACTGCAGTGAAGACTGGGGTAACATGAAGGGAGACATTTTTCAACTCGTTCTTCTTTGTTCTCTTTTGAAATAAAAGGAACTTGGTCCACAGCTTACCAGTTTCTCTCTAGTCCTCAATACAATGGCACAACACAAAATCAAATACCACATCACATAAAGTGTGTTCAAGAGTGATTTTATGCAGGAAATTCTTTCTGTATTTCTTGCTTGAGATCAGTATGTCACCATCTATATGAAATATATATAAACATACATACACACAAACTTACTTGCAGCAGGGTCTTGAACAGACCTGGTTTCATCTATGTAAGTCCATCCTACCTACAAATTCGTAGCAAAATCCTCCCTGGCTTAATCGGAGTCAGGATCAATATTTCTCACAGAAGCTTATGAAGCTCAAGATATCCAAACTACATTTAGAATATGGAAGCAGCTACACAAATCATAACTGCAAGAACTCATGGCCTTGGGTCATAACTGTCTAATTAGTACAGTCATTGACACAAGAACTGACCAAAACACACCTATCTGCAATTAAAAATTCATAGATACATCAAAATATACGTTAAATAACATTCACCTATCCAAACAAAATCAGATTACCAAGATTAGCAAGAAATCCATGGCAACAATGAAAAAAAGAAACTTCTTGTAACAATAGTACTGTGTGGTACCTCAGGGGACTAGCCCCAGGTACTGAGAGAAGGATGATTAAATAGTGTATGCTGCACCCACGATAATTTACTTCTCAGGTTACCACCACTGCTACATCTGGTTCTGTTTCAAGGTCACTGCTTCCAATTATTGAACTTTATCATTTAACAGCTACCAGCTCCCATGCATTCTGCAGGTTTATATACAGCCACAGAGCATGTAGCTGTATTTATATTTATTTTTATCCTTTGTATTTCAAATTATCTGTGTCCTCTCAGTCTTCACTTAATTTTCAGATCACTGCCTGTGTCTTTAGAAACCAGGCAAAAAACTGATAAGGTATCATCACTGATACATCCTACTGAAACTACCAAAACTGTTTGAGTGGCCTCCTATTAGTGTCAATTTTCCATAGGAAAATGTCATTTCACCTTTCTCTGCAAAGACTCTGTGTGATTCAGGAGGTGAGGTGAGGAAACACCCTCTAACAGCATTCCAGAAAGGAGTGCCTTCCATTGCGACTCCACAATTGCTAGGAAAACACTGTTGCACAGGACAGCATGACACAACATTGAAAGACTGCCTCCACCCCAGTTACCCGCCTTCACAGTCTCCACAACAGAGTATTTATTCCAGGAAAAGCAGTTGTGGCTGATGCCTGACAATGGTCTCGCTGGTTCTCCTCCCCTCCCAGATAGATGGCCAGAGTTGGAAAATGTGGACTAGAATGGAAGGGAAGCACAACCAGTTCATCTCAAAGGGGTTTGAGTCACTCAGTTTTTCCCTGGAAAAAGACTTGAGCCAGTCTCAGTTTTATTTTCCAGCTCAGGCTGAATACCACTTCCTCTTAAGCCGTCCTTGCTGACAAGTGTAATTTAACCTCTCACCTAAAGGTTGGCAGTAGTTTAATAAGGCCATGCATAAATAATAATATAGTTGAACAGAGGAGTCTGGCTAGTTTTCTGTGATACTGACAAAGCTGGTGAGTGCAAGAGCAGGATTGCTGTGAAGCTCAGCTTGAAAGCCTAGCAAGAGCCTGGTAGAAGCATCTGCTTTTGAATCACTTGCAGTAAATCAGGATGGCAGGTTGCTGGGTGCAATACCATTTAAACCTTTTCCCCTTATTGCAAGCCAAGATTCACAACTGCAAAATAGCTACATTCTGACAATCAGACAGAGAAGGAGGAGAAAAAACAAGATTTATATACCAGCTACAGCAAATATTTTCCCTGTGCCTGTTCCTGTCACTGCTGTAACTGGGAGCCAGATTACACATGCTCTCTATCCACTGGGAATGTCATGAAAGTCTATTTAACATACCAGGTAAAGTATGGAGAGTTTTCAAGTTCTGAATCCTTTGCCACAGAAGCAATAGCAGGATACAGAAAGCCATGAAAACTGCTTACATTGGCCTGACATCCTACTGAACACCACGTGTAGACTGTGCTATCGGTCAAGACTTCTTAATTTGTTTCTCTCTCTGCTTTTCTTTTGCATAATAGCTGCCCTTCTTGGACTGAAATATTAAATTTATGAACCTTTCAAAATGCTCTCAGTGGTCATGTGTAAAAAGCATGTTGCTTTTACACTCATGGGACCAGATGGTCCTCTCTCCTTTAGGGGCCCAGCTAACAGCAGCAATGGCTCCAAAAGTATCTGTTCCATGAGGAGGAGGTCAGGTACATTCAGCTCCCAGGTTATACATGACACAGGCCAAAGCAGCATGGGCTTTGTGGAAGGCATCTCCCAGAACTTCCTGAGGCAATTGCTGTGGCTCAGCAGAGTGGGATGTAAAGGGTAACGCTTTCTGAACACAAGCCAAACAGCTTATATTGTTCACAGCCTTGCAAGATGGCTGAAAGAGGAATCACAATGACACAACAAGACAACTCAATGAAGTGCAACTCCCAGAAACTGTTCAATTAATCATCAACTGGCTCCTCCTAAAGCTACCTGTGCTCATAGTACTGAATGCACTGTGCTTGACAGGGATCTTCAACTCCACTGGGAACCATCACTGCCATCATCCAGACTGTCCTGCTAGATCTGCATCAAGAACCTGTGGACTTCATCCATGTTGCAAACTTGAGAAGCCAGTCAAAGTTTGTCTTACTAAATACCGGAACTTCTTTTTACAAGGTAAACTAGTGTGATTTTCTAAGGAATCATGAGTTTACTTAGCACTAGAGACATCAGCACTACAGGCATGTTTGTTCCTAGAAGTGATCCTCACCAAAGAACCATCCTCTGGTCTTCCTAATACTCAAAACAATACATACGATTACTTCGGCAGTGTGTTAACCTAAAACGTGGCATATGCCACAATTTCAAAATACAATCCATGGAAGATACATTCAGATTTTGATTAATCTTCATCATACAACTTAACGTTTCAGTGAAGAGGGCTATTAAAAATTTCTTCCCAGCAAACAGCCTTGCACCATATAGCAGAGCTCCCAGAAATCACAGAATATATATAAAATCAACCTTTTAACCCCAAATATGTTAAACAGGCTAATTTATTCCACCTATGTTTATACAACCTAAAGTCAATAGACTGGTGTTTCTCATTATTCTGCAATCCGAAAACTCTTCCAGATTTGCGGATATGCATCTTTATCAGCCTATGATGTCTCATCTTTAGATCCACTGGTTTATCTGCTGTTTCAATTATGCAAGCATCTCATGACGTGAAAGAAGAATTTGGACCGTGAATATATAATTGCAACAGAATTAACTTATCAACTAGTTAATAATAAAAAAACCCCTGCAACCAAACCCAACTGCCTTTATTTTCTAATATGTATGTATCTAACAGAAGGTTGCCACAATACTTTTATTCAGGTTCTTGTTAAAGGCAGAATGCCAAGTAAGAGGTACTGGCCCTGAACTGAGCTTAGCCACAAATTTTATACACCTGCTAACACCACTCTTAGGCACAAAACTTTTCAGAAAGTTCATTTGGAAAACTCCACGTGCTGCAGGTGAATGAATGACATGGACATGTCATACATGAGTAGCTGAATGACCAATAAAATATTCACCTCTCATTGTTGAATGTGATTCATAAAAGGTCTTTCATGCCAAAGTGCAATGCTACTGTACAAAGTCAGTGCGCAGCAGGCAGATCCCAGAAGAGGACATGCTGACTACAAGAGTAAAGAAATTCCTACCTCTATGGAAGAAAAATTTCCTAAGAACAGTTCTGGAGAGTTTGATTTGTTGTTTTTATAAATGTGCCATCTAATCTGTATGTAATAAACTGAATAGGATTGAAACATAGATTTGATATATTCTGATGTGAAATACACCCCTATGCGAATCTGATCTATTTCTATTTAAATCAGTGGTGTAGTTATAGATAGCTTGGGTGGAAAAGAGGTGGATCTGATCCCATTACTGTTCTGTCCACCTGTGTCTGTTTCCCATCTTCCACCCCATTTTAAAAGGACAAAGAGCTGATTTCAGAATTCTGCAGTTCTAGTGATTCTAGGACTTACTGCAGTGCAAGTCCTGGTGCTTCACTTATTTTTACAAATATTATTCCACCTCCCAGGCTTTTTCAATGTCTTAGATTTCTGCTTTGGTGTTTTGTAATTTAAGAATTAAAATCACAAACCAAGTAAAAAGGGGTAACCTCCAAACGCTCATGTCTAATTTAGATACATCTATTTTTTCCTATCTCACCTCCCAGTTTCTGCATCTTCTGGGTAATGCACATACTTTCACCTCATCATAATGGTTTTCAGAGTTATCAGAGAACAGAATCAGTACAGTAAGGAACCTGACAGCCTTTAACATTTGCCCAGTTAATCCCTAGTATCTACAGAAGAACACTCTGGAATAAGTAAGATTTCTTCAGCGAAATTGCTCCACTTAATGCCAAGTGAGTACACAGTAAATAAGTGAGCTAATTTTTTACCTGCAAAGATTACACAGTACTGTGATAATTTCCTTAGGTTGAGAGCAGGCTCCCTGAAGCAAACATGAAGCTCAAAACTCACATCTTATGCCTGACATGAAAATGGGTTTCATAGTTTCATCTTTCTATGAAAAAAAACCCAAGACCATTATCCTTTCTGCCTGAAGTTAGAGAGAATTTAGCTACTGAAAAGAACAGGACTATACCCAGCACCATATCTAAGTTAATAGTAATTAATTTTCTTTACATTTGATGCATATTTTACATTAGAACCCCAAAATACACTATTTGTCAGAGAGAGTACCTGTGTTCAATCCTACTGGCACCTTCAGGAGAAAAAGTATTGGAGAGCCCTCTCACAAGCTGACAACCCTTCCAATTGCACCTCATGACTACAAGCATTCCATACATAATTAAGTAGGATTTCTAGTATTGTTACTGTTACCTTAAAAAGATACTCACCTAGAAACATCAGGTTTGACCCTCTGGTCTAGTAAAACTGCTACTGTTTCTGCACAGCAGCCTAAAGCTGAGAGGCCCACGCCCTGGTTCTTGAGCATCAGTGGTGTCTCAAGGCATCCCTGTTCCTGCTCTCCCTGCTGCCCTGTATTTGCACAATTGTTAGTGCGGCTTGTGATGAACCAGATTAGGGAATTAGTCTAGATGAACAGTGACTTGGACTTCTTTCAGCATCGTTTCTGTAAGGATGGTGGCTGTGAAAACCAGCTTATTCAGCACTGCCACCTAACCCGAAGCCATAGCTCTGGACAGTTCAATACAGCTTTTGGACAGTTCATTATCATGAACTTCATCAGATTTTGCTCTGATTTTGTTCAAACACCTTTAAAAACTTATTTCAAATTTGAATGAGAATTTCCTGAGCTTTATCCTTTGAGTAAAGTGGAAACTGTTGTCCATCTCAAAATACATGGAACTGCATCTATCACTATTTGCTAGGAATGAAGATTGCTGGGAAATATTATCCTAATACAAGTTCAACAGGACAATATACCAAGTATAAATATGATAGAGAAGGTATCCAGTTCCTGTTAAAGATCTGCAGAGTCTGGTTTAAAAGAGTGCTTGCTTGAATAAAACGTTGTATGCTAAACCAGTGAGGCTCTGCTTGAGCTCCTGAGCCTGCCTGCCACATGCAGCATAATTTTAAGTGGAAATTTTGTCTGAGTGAAAATGAAGTGCGGGGCTTTGAGGGAACGCATTATCCTTAGAGAACACAAAATAACACAATATAAAGAGCAAGTCCACTGAAACTTCTGATGATTAGCCTTCCGGAGATACCAGCTGCAAAGCACTGCCTCCATAAAAATTCATTACCTATTACAAATCTATTAATTGAGTGCTTCAGAATAACAAATTAGTAGCTCAACTTTCCCAAAGAAAATTCACTAGAACTTTCCCATTGCACATGGCTGGTTCTTAACATCAGCTGATTTGTTACGTGCTTTCATGTCAGTCTTTACAAAGAAGTACTGTGAAGAAGCACTGTGTGTTGTAAAAACTAAGAAGGGTATCTGCCCATGACCTGCGCTCAGATAATGAAACACCTCATCCATATTAGTAAAATATTAACAGAGGTTATTGGTTGTCATAGTAAAATGAGAGGCTGCATTGAACGTAATTTCATTTACAGACGTTGAGAAAATTGACATCATGGCTGCAAGAATGTATAAATAACCAGCACACTGCATTTCTGGTCAACTGCAGCAACATCTCTGAAGGGAGCATTCTACAGGCTCAGCTCCTCTAAAGACACAGCAAAAACTGGATTCTGTAAAGTACACCGAGGAGCTCTTTTTTATAGAGCAGCTCTAAGAACATCAAAGAGACTTTTTCCTCTGCCTTCAACTGCATTTACCACTTACTTAAAAAAGCAATGTGCACGGGAAGTTGTGCTAAGTGCCTGGGAACCACTCTTATCCCCCTGGCTGTGCTATGTACCCTCGCTAACATTTTGTTGTTTTTCCCTGGAGGAAAAGTGGCTAACGACAATCAGCACATTACGAATGAGGTCTGGTACTTCGGAGGGATCTTGGGGTCTGGTGTATTGGTGAGTATATAAATCCAGATATTCCCACCTTTCCCTCCCACCCACACCATCACTTTGCATTGCTGAATTTCTTCAGTACTTCAAATGCAGGTTCCACAACTGCAAAATCTTTTCTGATAAATCAGTTACAAGTCATCCAACAGTTTTGCATTAAGTAGCTTAATTTAGCGATAAGAAAAAAACCCCAGAGAACTGTTATATTACAAAGCAAATGTAACTTGAAGTCATCCTAATTCAAACTGTATTTTTGTTATTGTTAGATGATCTTTCCTGCCTTGGTTTTTTTGGGCCTTAAGAATAATGATTGCTGTGGATGCTGTGGTAATGAGGGCTGTGGAAAGAGGTTTGCGGTAAGTGAGAAGAAACACTGCAAAGAAGTAAAAGCTAAATTATTACCAATACATATATCTTCTGCTCACAGTCATTGAGACACTGTACAAATGCTGATCAGAGTGTAAGACACAAATCAGCTATTTGTCTGAGTGCTGGGAAGTAGAAATAGAGGCTGTAAAAACTGCATTATGCCTTTGATTCTGTGTCACACGTATGACAACTTGGTGTATTTTGCTATCACAAGATACAGTTGCTATCACAATTAAAACTAATTTCTGAAAGATCTGCGCTTAGTTTTGCAAAGCATGACAGTTTTCTCTTTAGACATTTTTTTGTTGTCATTTTAAAAATTATTCTGACAGTTGCACACTACATTCCCAACTCACTGCAGGCTCACACCTTGGGCTGCAGGTATCTCATTAGGTTCATAAGAAATTTCAGGTTGGAAGAGACCACAGAGAGGTCACCTAATCCAACCTTCTACTTAAAGCCAGATATACCAGGCTCCACTTTGAATTCATAGCTTCCTTTCACATGAGAAGTGAAAAGTTTTAAATGGATATCTCCAGATACTAGTAAACATTTAAAGCATTTTGGTTTAAAAATGAGATTAAATTAAAAATAAATATATTTCTATTAGGAAAGTCTGTCCTTTCGAAATAAATTGTTTGGCTTGAGTACATAATTACACTTTTTCACAAAGAAGCAGGCTTTCAAGTTGGAGAAGGAAAAAAAAAAAAGGAAAAAGCAAATAGGAAAAGAATCACAACTATGAGGTTAACAAGGGGCCTTCCCTCACCACGCTGTGTTATCAATGTTCTGTTAGCAGTGAACATATCTTAGTTTAGCTTTGAAGACCACGCATAACTCAGGGACTATAAAAATTACTAATGTTTTGCTGCTGGGGGGCCACTCACACCCCTGCGGTGCAGCTGAACCAGCAGCACAGTTACACCGTGGGTGACCGGCGGTGAGCGCCTCCAAAGCTGTGCCCGCTGCCGCACGTAGGCGGAGCCACGCACACAGTGCTGCCCATACAGCAACCGACATCCTGCGGTGCAGAGCCTTACTGAGGATTCCTGTGAGAATGCAGCTGAGAAACTGGGTGTTATTAATGCAGTCACTAGTATTAAGTACACTGTACCGAAAGAGTCCCAGTGGCCTTACCACAGCATGACTGAGGACTGAATTTGGTCTTGTATGTTAGCAGAAACGCTGCTATTATTTGTTAGCCCCATCAGCTATATCAACATAAAAATGCGTATCAACAGTCAAGGCAAGAGTCTTGTGATGACGTCTGAAAAAAAGCTGAATAAAAGTAATATTTTTTTTCCCTACCAATATCTCTTTGATCCAATAAAATGCACTAGCTTTACCTACAAACTATTATGGCTACAAGTGCTTCAGAAATCAAGCAGAGCATTAGTTTTTGCATTATTCGTTTTTGCATTATCGGTATGTCTACTTACATATCAGTACATATCATATTACACATCTGATGTCAGTATATCGGATTATTTTCAGATCAGTATATAAAAATGCCATAATGGAAAGCCAGAAAGATAAAGATGTCCTTTCCAATCCATTCCAATTGCACTAGTAGAACTAACGCTGACAAGTACCTGAGAGGAGATAAAGTATACCAAAATGAAACCTGAAAGGGAGACTAAGGAATAAAAACTGTAATTACTTGGTACAAATGTGACCAAGACACCAAAGCCAACTTGTAAAGCATACTGTAGATTCTCTTCTTTAATGTCTTGAGTGGTCCAAGACCTCAGTCTTGCTTGTATGTCTTGAGAAAGACTTCCCCTTCAGTGAAACTGAAGACCTTGAACAAGATGAGGACTGTTGGACAAACACTATCTGAAGGGGAGGAGTGCCATCTACTGTGGCAGCGTCCAACCCTTTTGCCTTCAGACAAATGGTGCCAATTGTTTTAAAGCTTTTAAATACCAGTGTAGGTATGTGTTACACATCTGGTATGTAATTGTGAATTAATACATTTCAGCTGTTCAGAGTGTAGGACCTTTAAGAGATAAATTCAGGGAATACACATTCACATTAATAGGGTACATTTCATTGTTTGAATGAAAACAAAAAATAACATGATTTTTCTCTTCATCAGATGTTTTCTTCTGTAATATTTGCTGCAGTTGGAGTTGTGGGAGCTGGATACTGCTTTATTTTGTCAGCAGTAGCCCTAAACAGAGGCCCTAAATGCAACACTGGAACAGAGTGGACCTATCCTTTCAAAGACGGGTGAGACAACACAATCAGAAAAAAAAAAGTTACAAGTTTTAATTTTGTGGTATGATTTAACTTTCAAATCTGTAATTATACTATTTGTCTACAAGACAGAAGCTCTTGGAAGAGCCAGGAACTCACAGCAATACTAAGTAAGGCTCAAGAGCAGATACAAAGAATAGTGAGTACTTTAAAACTAGTGAGTTTTAAACGAGCCCATAGAGGGAAACGCAAAGCTTTCTAGGTTACTCCTGGAATGATAAGCAGTATATGAGGATAAATTCCACCTAGATGAACAGCAGTGACATTTTATATTGAAATTTGATGGCATGCAAATAATTAGTATCAATTTATTATTTTATCTCGGTTATGGAATTTGGAAGTTGTCTGTTCCTCACACTCTGCAGCTCAAACGTATTTGCTGTCATGTATATTTATCACTTTCAGAGAGCTGGTGTAAAGAATATGAGCAACCCCTAGCAATCCAGTTGCTGAGGGCTGAAACCAGCAAAGGTCCAACAGAAAGCAGGGTACAATGTATTGTCAAGGAGAGCAGGCGCGAGCAGAACAGATCAACGAGGGGTAAACTCCTCACTGTCTCAGAATCTTTAATGCAGTCTTCCGCAGTCAATTGCTTCAGTTGACCTAGAACCTAAACAAAATTATGTTCTAGATATGTGGCACCAGTGCAATAATGGAAATTGTTTCTTGCACTAACTGAAGCTAACAGAGACTCAGCTGTATCACAACAGTGACAGCTTGTGACAGACTTCCTCTCTGTGAGCTCACATCATCTTCTTCACAGGGATTACCTTTCTAACCATACACTGTGGAACATTTGTCAGTCACCTGAAAACATTGTCCCTTGGAACTTGACCCTCTTCTCCTTGCTGCTCATCATGAGTGGGATCCAGGCAGTGCTCTGTGGTATCCAAGTGGTGAATGGCCTGTTTGGAACAATCTGTGGGGACTGCAAATGTTGTGGGGTGAGCAACTGACTGTTTTCTTTTGCTGTTTTTTCTACTGATAATAGTTATATGCATACCTGACTAGCTGACAGTCTGAAAAACTAAACTAGCCTTTATTCAGTGCCATGACGATGTTTTCTTAAGTGTAGCTGAAGCCCTACAATGTCCCCAGCTGCTGAAAATACTATTTCAGTCCATATTTATGTTGTTTATTCCATAGCTACTAGGAAATCATAAAAACATTTGAAAGTGACAGGAGTGGTAGCCACTAAATTATCTCCATGCTTTTATTATTCCAGGGATCTTGAACTGTCTAAAGAATATGAATATTGCGCACAACCTTTACCTTGGGAGGCTCCTTTTTGCAGCCGTTGCATAAAGCAGCTTTCAGATGCATCATATCTGGCTAAGAAGATGAGAATGAAGGGCACTTCCCCTTAAGAAGCTCTGACTCCCTTTCCAAACTTCCTGAAAGCCTTTATCATAGAACAGAATAAAATAAGTGAAATTTAACTCTAACATTCATATTTATTTTTGTAAAACAGTTTCTGTCTAAAAGAGGATATTCTCAGGCAAAATATTTTCTTTCCTGAGTCAACTTTCCCACTGGGGTTCACCAAATGCTGCTGGTACCAGCTCAGCTATAATGCAGTTGTGTCTGTTTTCTCTTGAGGTTTATCAGATGGAAATACCACAAGTCTAACTTTTTTTAAGTATGTTTATGTTACATGGAAAAGTGAGGACTTCTCTTTTCCAAACCCATTATGATTAAAATGGTCCCCATTAACAAGAGATGTTTACATGCTGAAATACATTCTAGAACTGTAATCCTCATCTTGAATCTCTCATACAGAAACTATGCAGCCGGTGTAATTTAATGACATAGAAATAGTCACCGTAAGTAAACTAATCTGTTCCTACTTATGAAGGGCTTTTATCTCCCTGCTCATGGCACTAACTCACTGTGAGCTCTCATCTAACAAAGGTGATGCAGTGACTTAAGTCACAGATTAACAGGTCTAGGAGCCTACCTTTGCACGTAAAGGCAGCACAAACACCACTTAAATATTTTGTAAGACATTTGTGTAACCTGTTCTTAAAAATCTCCAAGTTCAGATGATTGTGTGGCCTGTGCTTTCAGAAAATGTATTCATGTACTCTGCAGCTATATTAGAGCTATCTCAAGAACTTAAAAAGTATTCAGAAGCACTAAAAGCTGGTGTGCAACATGCAAAAATGTGAAATAGCTAGTTTTAGGTACATTAACAAAAGCAAAGCAGCCTGAGTGATACATTGTGCAAGATGATAAAAGTAATGATAAAACGAACATCTTCAGAAACAGCTGTTTCTCCCACCTGTTCTACTGCATTGCTGGGGAATCCGAGAGCACCCTTTATACCACCACCCACTGATGCAACTATCCTACATCTATTCTTTCATCTGTGGTTAGCAGCTGTCCTGCACCTCATCTCACATTTGTTTCATTTTATTTATATGAAGCCTTTGGGAACATGGAATGTTTCCAAGCACCAGTGAAGAAAGGGATGGGTCACTGCATAGCGTACAATTTTGATATATTAATAAACAGAATACATAAATCTTTGTGGGAGACTTGGGATAACAAATAACAGAGAGGAGCTACGATACCTAAAACCAAAACCAACAGGTGGTTCATGAGTCAATGCTTAAAAGATGCCCAAGTACATTGTGGTTTTCTAACATGAGCTAATACCTAGTAGATACTGAAACAAGGCACACAGATTTCATCTCAACCCGGACTGCATTTGCACCTTGGCCTTGGGATGCATTGAACAAGCATAAATGAACTGGAATCAGCAGCTTAGCTGATCTAGCATTTTCAAGAGCCAACAGTACTGTTCCTAAATTTATTCAGTTGTGATTAACATCTGAGGCTCCCACCTAGCATTTAACTTCCTGGGAATCACACTTATCCAATTGTCAATTCTGCAGCAATTGGAGATAGCTCCCTCTGTTTTTCCTGAGCAAGGCATCCAGTAAAATCAAGGGGTGGGACTGATCACAGATCGCTGTGACAGGGAAAGAAGTAATGGGCCAGCACTACTCCTAGTAGAGAAGTTACAGATAAAGAGCATACAGTGTTAGACATAAACAGAAAGACGTTGGCAAGAGAAAAACTACGAACAGGGAGAACTGAAAGAGTTAAACCTGACCTCAGTAGTCCTTACCAACTTGAACACCACACTCAGTTTGTGTGTACAAATATCAATGCTTACACAGATGTAGAAATCCTAGTAGCTTAAAGGAAAAATATTAGTATTGTCTGTAAAATCTCAGAGATGCACGTGTTATCTGGGCCCTCGTTATTCACCCACAAAACCTGGCTGCTCAGTGCCAGTTGACTGGGTGCTGAGAGCAATTCTGGGGCATCGGTTCAGCTGAGAGTTTACATAATTATTTAACACACAAGTTATTTAACAACTCAGATTACAACACGTGGAGTGTGTGCACATGATTCTGAGCCCGTGCATTTCAACTTCTGCCTGCGGAAACTGGTGCCCCTGCACGGCTAAACTGTATACAGTTGGAGCTCTCTTTATTGATTGTCTCCAATAGACTGCAACAAGATGATACATTAACCAGTACAGCGCCACCTGTCGGGAATGATGCATTATCTAACTGGCAACTTTTTTTTAAAGGTTCATTTCCAAACTTAGGAAGTTAACATACACAAAGTTAAAAGACATTTGCTTAGCCAAGAGCAAAGAATGTTTTCTAACATCATTCTAGTCTTGAATGTTCATCACCTGCTCCCAGTTCAACATTAGCTCACACTTCATGGCTTCTACATTACTCACGGTGTAACCAGCCACAAGGCAAACAACAGCAAGCTCTGCAACAACCCCTACTGCCCAAGGATGGGGAGACTGACTTGCTCTACCACACTGATACGAGTGGGGTCTTTGCCCCGAGGGTGAACACTGGTATCAGTGATGGACATCAGCGAAACTCCAGATAAAACACCTTTGAAGTTTTTCCGTGCCAAATTACTTTTTCATGGGGATAGAATCCACCGTTTAACTGAAATTACAAAAGCTCTGCCAATACAAAGGGACTTTTTATAGGCATCTTCACCTGAGAAGCACCATCATTATCCTCCACCTGCCACTGCTCATTTGCTGCAGGACCCTTCACTGAAATACAAATTGCTCCCACCTGTGGATCCAAACAACCTAAACCGAAAAATATCATTTGTTGGCACTGAGAAATAAAGTCTACCAACTAACTGTGCTAATTGAGTTTACGGCAATACTTGGACACTGCTACGTGCAGAAAAAGGGCGCCAGTGGAAGGTCTCCACTGCCTTTGCGTGTGCACATCTCACCTGCCGGGGAATCTCCCGGCTGCTGAGGGTGCAGGACCAGCGGCAGCGCCCGGCCTCGGGCCCCATTGCTCCTTCCCCCGCGCCTCCTCCCGTAAGTCACCCATCCCCCGCCCAAGCAATAGCGGTGTCGAGACCCGCCATAGGGCCGACCCTATGGAAGCAAGGACTGAATCCCGGCCCATCCCTCACCTGCGCAACAGCCCCAGCCAACAAAACAGCGGGAGCCCTCGAATGCATCTCCCGCCTTCGGCCCAGCCCCGGGGAGGTGCCACGGTCTCCCCAGTGGTCTCCTCCTCCCTTCCACCTACCTCGCTCCTCCCGTCCTCGCCGCCCCGCCGCACTCCTGAGGACAAGGTGGGAGCCGCAGCCAGGGCGGGCCAGCAGCCCAGGAGCGACCACCTGAGGTGGCGGCGGGGGAACCCGCCCTGCCGCGTCCCGACTAGGCAGAGCCGAGTGGCCTCGGGCGGGGGTGTCTTCCCCCTCACCTTAGTCCCGCCGTCGCGCCCTCCCTGCCCTGCCCGTCTTCGCTCCCTTCCTCCTAACTGAATTCTGTAAACGCCAGGTTACAAGAGGGCTTGCTTTTAGCCTAGCCCAGCGTAGGGTCTTAATTTTATCAAAATCTTCTAGCCATCGCATTTTGAAGAATAAAAGGGTACCTGGTGAGGGATGCAGGCACTGATGATGGTACAGCGAAGAGTAAGCTTTGAGGACCAGGTAGTGAAAAGGCTTAAGAACAGGCGTTAGTACCGCACTGAAAATAGCCACGTCAGGATGCTCTCCTGACAAAACTCTCAGCAAACGGGTGTGAGAGGTGAGATTCCCGGGGGTGAAGTGCACACCCTCACCCTGGAGAGAAAGCTAGCACCAGGATCCTTTGCAGCTGTGCAGCTGTCCTTGCAGCCCGAAATGGCTTCCTGAACTCATGCACAGAAACCAGAACAGAAGGCCCGTCAATAGGAGTGCTGCATTAAACGGTTATCTGAGAAAGCCAGAGTACTGACATGCTTCCTCTGAAATGCCTGGGGTTTTCTGCACATCACAATCTCGGGAAATCCCTCCCTAAGGGTTTTATTACAGCTCTGAGGCAATACCACACAGGAGCAGCAATCTTTGCAGCGCACCACTGAGCAGCTTGGAAGGAGAGCGAGCTTCATTAGGAACAAACAAAATGGCCTTCATAAACAAACACACAGTGTTTCTGCCAAAAAAAATACTTGATTAATATTCCCGAGTAAATGAACCATGAATTAGCAAACACATTTCTCAAAACAACTGATAACACTTTGCATTTCTGTTTAGTGGCGGTTCCACAACTTCTTTCTGTTAAAAGCAAGATACTGTTAGAAGCATTCTAATAATTAATTAGAATAAATTATGTGAGGGAACAATTCAAGAAAAGTATTAAACTTAATTAATAGTAACAGTTGCATTGGATCAAGTACCATGGCTGGAAAGACAAGCCTGGTTGGTTAGGTTTCATGGTTTGTTCCTGGAAAAGAAGACAGTATTTTCTTAATGCAGAATTTAGGATGCTTCTTGAATAAGGGATCAGGCTGAAAGCTGTGCACTGAAGTCCCCCAAACAGAACTTGACAGCAAACGTACTTGGTGTTAACTCTTCTGCTTAGAGATAAAGGTATTAAGCCAAATCGTAACAAAACATTTGTGTCAGTGAATTATCAATTGCAAGGTGCCACTAAAAGAAACACGTAATGGTGGCACTGGGAAGGAAGATGTTGTAGGCATTACAAGTAAATCTGCCATTACCACTAATGGCTGTAACAACTGCCAATAAATTAAAACATATGGGTAAAATAACTCATCTGATTTGCTAAGAGCTCGTAATTTAATAAAAGATTTATGCCTTTTGCACAGAATAGTATTCCAAGCAGTGTTACACAGTTCCCTGGGAAGCACATACTAAAGTCTCCAAAATAAAAAAGAAACAATTTAATAAACCAATATGCATCCAAAATCTTTAAGTTCATTTATATTTGGTTTTCATGTACAAGATCAAAGAAATAGTAAAAAAAACAGAATCAAACCCTGGATACAACAGTTTGATCTGACTGCTTTTGATACATACAATCTGCTGCAAGGTACTCGAAATTAAAAACAAATGCTCACACATGTCATATAACAAAATGAAAAAAGTAACTAAAAAAGTTAAAGTACTAGCATGTACATGGATGTAGTGTATTAGGAAACAAGTTTATCTGAACACCCATATTTTTCTGTATTTAAAATAGACATTTAAATCCTTCCCTCAAACAGCATTTGTTGTCAAAAAGTCAAATCCCATCCCTCCCCAAGTTACATTCTGACAGTATTACCAGAATACAAACTGTAATTAACAACATCCCATTACTCCTGTATCACCAAGACTTACATATGCCACCCTCGGTGATGGCTGACATTAAATCTATCCAGCTGGCATATTTGCTGTATTTATACTACAAGCAGACAGTGTGCATTTAGTAAAGTAAATGTTCAAAACCTGAAATAGGCAAACATTGGCATCTATAAATCTAGTTTCAGAAGAATTGCATATGCTTTGAGTACTTAAAAGTTCTGCCACAGCCTGTTTAAAGCTAGAAACTTCTAGAAAAAGAGAACTTTATAAAAAATAATTTTGTTGTTGCTGCTCATCTGACACATCCTCTCCATTACAAAAATGAAAAGTTTACAATGTAAAGTAAAGAATGGCTTTTAACTTAAACGTGATTCAGTTCATGACTGAGTAAAGACCTGACCTAAGGTTCTGGCAGTTGTTTTACACTGTAAGTATTGTTTTGCACAGCTGGTTTATTATGGAAGCAATATGGAAAGAATTTCTGATTGTTTTACCTCTTTAAGGTCTTTGAACCAAGACACTTAGCCACGTGAAACACCAATGAAAAGAGGAATCAAGTTTGTAGCTTCACAATTCTGATAAACATCTTATGTGACCTTACAAGATTGGGTTTCACTGTAAGAAGCATGGCCTGTAGTTGATGAAATCAGTGTAGCCAAACAGAAGTCAGGTTAACTAATGCACACCAGCAAAGAACCCGATCTGCTTGGAGTATCTTCTACTATGACAAAGCTTAAATTTACAGTAGTACAGACTTACTAGCAAATGAAAAAACTGCATTTTCTAAATATAATCTAAGGGTGAGTAGTATCAACTGAGTCACGCTAGAGCTCAGATCTGCAGCTACTGTGTTCTAGCACCAACAGCCTTCAGCTTGCTAGGCCAATCACGCCGGGCTTAAGAGTTGCCTTGCAAGTCGGCATCACAATCAGATGCCAATAAATCTCCAAGTCAGTCATGTCACTAAAGAACAAAGCCTTAGGACGTGGTTTTTGTTTAGGCTGACAACCTGAAGACACCCTTAAAAGAGAGAGATTAATCATAGTTACAGTAATATTGGTCAGCTCTGCCCGGTCCCCTGTTCGTTGAAAAGAAATTTCTGCTATATCAATAGTTGGCACTCACAAAAATAATTAAAAAAAAAGAAAATCCAAAATCCCAAAACAACAAATAACCTCTCAAAAAAATAAGCACAATGCCCATTCAGTAATTAAATCCTGTGCAGACACAACTCTGCTGTCACATCTCATTTTCTATTAAAAAAACCCCAAACAAAAAACCAACCCCTTAAAAGAGCTATTTTTCCCTATGTAATAAAACTTTATGACTGTAGGTCTTTGCCTTCCACCTCTTTTTTTAATTTGAAATTTGGGTGTGTTTGCTGTTTTTTTCTACCCTCTGGTATCTTGTACAACCAGCAGTTCACCATTGGCAAGGCAGTTCATTGTATCAAGTTCTTCCATTACATTTTTTACTGAATGCTGATGATGCATTTTCTGTGTATCCCTGTCTGCAACAACCCTTCCTGTCAAGAATCTGCATCTGTTACATGATCATTTGTCTTCCAAACCTCCTCCGCATTCCCATCTCTTCACCTCTGACCTTTTCACCTGCTTTCACCCAACCAGATGGAAAAAAAAGTTTTTAGTGATCAATATTCTGGGGAATCAGTAAGACCTTGTTAAGTGTTATCAGACCTGCCAAACACATTTACACTGAGTGCTACATCTCTTTCTCTCTCTACATAGTCCGGCTTAAGGTTAGAGAAAAGTTTTAATGCCTTTCATAAAAAGACATATTTTTCAATATAAAAAGCTTAAATTCACAGATTATAAATAACATAATTTCAAAATATTTAAGAATTTTAGGACTTCATTTGCATTTCAGGGGAACTGCAAGCTTAATGTCCTTGATGCCTTCTCAGTCCCAAACCTCTGATAAAGAAGTATTTGTAGGATATACAACAGGTAGAAATACCCAGAACACGCCTTGTGTCCTGTATACCAACTGCAGTAAGTAAAAGACTTAACTAAGTAACTTTACCAGACAAGTTCCAATACTGCTGTAGCACTGCCCTGATAAAGTTACCATCTTTTTTTCATGTAAACAACTACATGTATTTTGACATTGTCAGTTAAAACATTAATGAAAACAGTGTAAGGCTTCTTTCTGCTACATATGACATTAACAGGTTATGCCACATTTTCAGACCTGCTTTTAAAAGAATGTTTTTGCATTTAAGATGTTTGACAAAGATTTTATATACATAAAAATTGTTTGTTTATGTGTTAAGTTAAAAAAATGTAGTGCTTAATATAATAAACATCAAAATCTAAGATCTTTTTTAAAAATGCTTGTTTATAATACATTACTTTGTTTGTAAAAGGCAGCAGTCAGTACCAGCCTGGTTTATTCTGCAACAACACTGTAGTATAAAAACGTTGCTAAACAATTCTGGTACTTTCAGATTGGAAGTATTTGTTTTCCAAAAACTATACAGTAATATACTGAAAAAAAGAAACTGCAATAGTACTGTTTGTGCCTTTGCAAATACATAATGAGAATTATTATGGCTGATATGGATCAGATTTAATCTGTATTCCATACAGCATAGTTAGTAACTAAGAATAAAAAAAAAATAATAAAAATTAAAGCTTAAGTAAATTGATAAAAAACCCCTTCTGATACTATTGTCATAAATGCAGTAATAAAACTGCTCTCATGGTCTGGTGCTGTGCATGTTTTTTGAACCAAGTGAGCTAGTATTTAGCTTTGGTGATTCATGAAGGGTTTTCAATGCTAACCAACACCTAGGATTTCAGTCAGGGACATGCACAAACACCACCCAATTTCGGTCCTTAAAGTGAAACATTTCTGCCTGGTCTGAAAAGGTAAAGAAGTATACAGATATGTAAAGTAGTGTGCTTGTTTGTAAAGAGGAATAAATATATATGCATATATGTATTTTTAAATATATATATGTGTGTGTATTTTATATTTAAATTAGTGTCAATGAAATCCAGGCAGAGATTAAACCGACCATAAAGATGATGTAACAAAAGACATTAAGGCAGTAAGTTGTATCTCTTGAGCATTTTCACATATTCTACCTATATCTCAAGAAGAAAACCAAATGTTGAATTGCATTGTAGGCCAAATCAGCATTCAATGATTACAGCCAGGTAAGGAAGGGCTCATTTTTGTTGAGTACTGACTCCACATCGTTGAGAATAGGGATCAAGTCTTCTGACTCTAGAGTCCCAAGATCAACATTTGTTCCTGGAAGACAGTCGAGGAAATCAGGGAAACGTGTTTGTTGTGGATTTATGTTCATTGTCGTCTGTGGTATAGTTTCTCCTAGGAAAAGTAAAGAAGAAATATTTAAATGCCAAAAACTCGTCTTGTGGGTAATTTAAACAAGCACAATCCATATAAACATTTGACTCCCCCTTTCCTACCCTCCTGTGGGATGGGAAAGCAGTTGTGAGCATTCCCATCCTCTACAAATGTTACCTCAAGACTATACTTGCTTGCAGAATGCATATTCTTCTGAGAATTAATTTCTCATCTTTGCTATCAGCCGCTGACTTTCCCCTTGGGAAGCACAAGTTCAAATTTACTAGTCATCCAGGGAGCAACGCGATTGAGTCTTATGTAAAGCCTCTATCCTGCTCCCTGGCATAGAGTGAATGCTGTCCTGAGGGCATAACTAAAGAAGGAAGTGTCTTACAGCAATTTAGATCTGCAATATTATACTACTTTTTTTGTAAATTAGTAATAACAAGTATGAACATCTTTAATAGAGAAGGCTTTCACTCTTAGCATCATCTAGAACTTCTGATGAATACAAAAGGAAGCTCAGGTAAGGAAGTGCTAATAATTTCACTATCTGGGAAAAAGCTTGTCAATTTCATAGAAATTTCTTTCAGTATTTTAAATAACATGATGACAATGATGTAAAAATAACTAACTGTGAAAACCTGGACCAGTTAAATACATTGTTTGAAGTCAAATCCAGCTTTGCCATTGTAAGAGATTTACTAGTGAGACTAATTTTCCAGAGTACCAAGAATGTAACCCAGATTTTTCAGGATCAGTGTTGGGACTGGTCTTGTTCAACATCTTTGTCGCTGACATGGCCAGTGGGATTGAGTGCACCCTCAGCAAGTTTGCCGATGACACCAAGCTGTGTGGTTCGGTTGATACGCTGGAGGGAAGGAATGCCATCCAGAGGGACCTTGACATGCTTGTGAGGGGGGCTGATGACAACCTCATGCAGTTTAACCATGCCAAATGCAAGGTCCTACACCTGGGTCGGAGCAATCCCAGGCACAGCTACAGGCTGGGCAGAGAAGAGATTCAGAGCAGCCCTGCAGAGAAGGACTTGGGGGTGCTGGTCAATGAGAAAATGTACATGAGCCAGCAGTGTGCGCTTGCAGCCCAGAAAGCCAACCATATCCTGGGCTGCATCAAAAGGAGTGTGACCAGCAGGTCGAAGGAGGTGATCCTGCCCCTCTACTCTGCTCTCATGAGACCTCACTTTTAATACTGTGGGCAGTTCTGGTGTCCTCAACATAAAAAGGACATGGATCTGTTGGAACAAGTCCAGAGCAGGACCACGAGGATGATCAGGGGACTGGAGCACCTCCCATATGAAGATCGGCTGAGAAAGTTGGGGCTGTTCAGCCTGGAGAAGAGAAGGCTGCGTGGAGACCTCATAGCAGCCTTCCAGTATCTGAAGGGGGCCTATATGGATGCTGGGGATGGACTATTCATTAGGGACTGTAGCGATAGGACAAGGGGTAATGGGTTAAAACTTAAACAGGGGAAGTTTAGATTGGATATAAGGAAGAAATTCTTTACTGTTAGGGTGGTGAGGCACTGGAATGGGTTGCCCAAGGAAGTTGTGAATGCTCCATCCCTGGGGGTGTTCAAGGCCAGGTAGGACAGAGCCTTGGCTGCATGATTTAGTGTGAGGTGTCTGTGCCCATGGCAGGGGGGTTGGAACTAGATGATCTTAAGGTCCTTTCCAACCCTAACTATTTTATGATTCTATGATTTTTACTCCTCCTACCTTGGACTGTGGTATGAAAATACTAATTAAGGCTCACATTTTCCAACTTTTACTTCTTTTGTTTAATATCAGTGTAAGGTAAAAGCATACAATCTGAACCTAAGTTAAAGCTGAGAAGCTTCTAGACACTAAGTACCTTTTAGGCGTTTTTCCCCTCAGTCTCAGTCTGTTCGCTTGCACAGGAAAGCAAGAGATTATTGTTCAGTTGTGCAATTATAAAACTTGTTATAACACAGTTATTTGTATCATTATATTTTAAGCTAAATCAGAGTGTTCTACCTGTATCCATCTCATCCACGTTGCTGAGGAAATCTTCCGGTGTCGTTGGTATACTGTAACATCCTAATCCCAAGCCACTGTCAGTACTCTGTTCCCTGGAATGGTATGGCCCACTATAAATTAAAATATGAAAAAGCTTCAGTAAAGATGTTCTGGTAGACACAGTCCCTCATCATGGTCTTTGAAAAAAGATGGCACAGTAGGTAAGATATTAAATACTGAGTCATTAAGCCTCATTCTCAACTGTTGGCCACTAATGTAGTCCTGTTAAATCAGCCCAAATATAAAGCAACTGAAGTGAGGCTACTCGTAGATTTTGAAATACACACATGTATATCTAACTCTCTAGACAAAAACAGTTCTGACAGCCTAAAAAAAAAAGTTTATTTATACTTAGGTTATGTACTTATTCTACCTAGGGTTGTCTACATACACCTACCTACAGTGCAATTAAAACCATCTGTTGCCATTTGTTTGATTTTTCTATGATTCCTTTCTAGAAGTATAAACTTCAGGTCAGCCACTCAGCTGTACCCCATGTTCACAGTAAGTACAAAAGACGATAGTAATAGGAAACTACTTTAGAAAGACAGCTTTCAAAGTGTAGAGAAGACAACAGGACTAATTGCCTAATGAAGAGGACACGAACTTGCCTGTTCAAGAAAGGATCAGATCCATTATTTGTAATAGGCCTCATGTCTTGTGTCATGGCAGGTGTATTCACAGCTGTCTGAACTGGGACCATATTTTCGGAGTCCATCGGAAGTTGTCTGCACAGAGCAGCTTCCTGAAAAGGCAAACAAATACAAGGGAGGAGTTATTCCAGCAGCTCAGAAGTCCTGCAAGAAGTCTTATAACAAGAGAACACATAATCATAGAATCATAGAATAGAATCATAGAATAGTTAGGGTTGGAAAGAACCTTAAGATCATC